TGCTGGTGTTTCCAAGCCCTTGAAGACCTTCCTCACATTCCTGAGTATTGCAATTGCATTGATTCTCGTGCGCTGTGCCTATCGTGTGGCTGAGTGTAAGTCATCTCAGCATACCTATCTAGCGAGTCAACAATTACATTGTCGCATCACTATTTTCTGCTCCCCTGTCTTCCCCTTGACTGTCTTCATATTTTAACCCTTCTGCCATACATGGCTAACTTTTGACGACAACTAGTGAGCGATGGATACAGCGGGACCTTGTTCCACGACGAAGCCTTATTTGTCGGACTCGAGGGTGTCCTAATCATTATTGCCGTCATTTCCCTCTTTGTAGCGCATCCTGGGTTTGTCTTCAATGGCAAGACCCATCTGATCGGGAATTCATCGCTGAAGTCACCTACCAGCGTGGAGAGTGGCGATGAACTCCCAGAAAGATAAGCAAGTTCGTTGTCCTAAGAAAGCATGCACCGGAGTTTTGAAAAATAATGAGCGGGAACACCCAGACTGCATGGTGTACGTGTTGTACATGAACCTTTTCACGATTTGTTGTTTCCTTGTGTTGTTGGTCAGATACCTATTAATTATTTGGCAGCTGCACTAACCCTTCTTCTGTTCGAGATAAATGCCTTTAAATTACAAGCCTGTCCCTCTATAGACCATTTTGTATAAATCGCTCGTCGTTCTATATATTGCCGATCATACAAATCTTGTGGGCATTCTGATCACCTCTGCAAGCCTTCGTATTATCATTGGCCCAATCATGCTACTTGTAACGGCTAGTTTTTTTATGACTCCAAAGCTCATTCTCAAGCATGTTGGGACTCAATGCCTCTAGAATAAGCCTCCAAAGTAGTAGAAAGATGCATACGCAATATTTCCGCAGCCAGTCTATGGCGATACGTCTCCCGCTCTCTGCACATAGCCCACAGGATACGCTTCGCAGATCCCAGCCCAACGTTCGCCAGAGCTTCAACGATCGGCATAGCAGAGCAAATCTGACACCCCCCTTCCCCCCGAATGGCCGGGTACAGAGCTCATTCTCGTAACTGTAAGTACCATTGACGCAAATAATGTGCTTGGGGCGTAGAGCTGGCTGGTGCATATCTTAATCTTAAAGCAGAGGCAGGTGTGTTGTCTCATCTGGAAGAGACGTCGTTGCTAGTGCGAATACTACAAGGGAAATGAGACTTTGCAGTCCATGGCTTAGTTTAGTTATACTTGTTTGGTACACCACAATGTTGAATAGTTGAAAAGCTGCGGCTGCTCTAACGGGTGGACCGTGAAGCAATCTTTACTTCTAGGACAGACTGCACAACAGAGAGAATATAAAGATTCTATTTGCAAATTACCTAGTCCCTAATCAAGTAGCGGCCCCGAGCATACCTAGGTTATGTCGACAGGGCCACAGTTGAAGACCGGTAACGATATATTTCCCAAGAGACATTGTGAGTAAGATCATGATGAACCTTGAATTACTGATTAGTTAAGCTCTTTTTATTCAGCAACTCGTCTTAACTTGTTTCAAAGATTGCCCCGAAGGAGCAAAGTCTGGAGTAAGTAGCATTCCAAGTTTTCAAGGGTTTGGTGATCTTATGTAGCATTTCTAGAAATCAAAAGTGCCCCTCGACGTACTTGATAATGACTCGCTGAACCTCAATGGGAAGTTTGCTCTTAACAAACCTGACCAACCTAAGTCCCTACCTAGGTAGGTATATATCGGGTTTTTAGCTACTTTCTCCCAGATCACGCCCGAAGCGCCTAATTTCATTTGCCTACGTCGGTATCTATTACATACTACCTAATTTCATGCTGTCAGCATCGGTGCACGTCTCACACCTGTGGAGTGATGTGTTGAGTTGGTTGTGCTGTTCTGTGTTGGCTATCATACACCGCTCCTACCTAGCTCGAAGCTAGCGCCTGGTGCTGCTAGGTAAATACCTGAGTAGGTACTTGTCGCTTGCTTATAGGTACGAGTACCTAATGCACCTACTCAGGACCAAGGTTGGCGGGGTAGGGACGTCGTACTGCTGTTCTGCTGCAAGTAGGGACCTGACTCACCGAACAAACAACCACCCTTGTTTCAATGCTCCTACATAGGACTAGTGTTTCAGAATAACGTGCACGGAAGAAAATGAAGCCATACGGCGAGTACGGCAATCCCAATTTGAGGACTGCATTGTCCAGTGTGCTGAACAACACAGCAACTTGGAACGTACCAGCCAACCACATGAGCTACATATATGCATGTACCTACCTACCTAGCCCACCTTAGGTACATGTACCGACCTAATGCCCACCAAACCCAGATAATTGGACCTTCGATTATATGCAATGCGCATGTAGCCTAGGGTACTAGTACCTACCATGTAGTGATAATTAACTGGCAGTAGAGATACCTACTTGGAGGTAGGTACTCAGGCAAGCGGAGCCTGACTGATTACCTAGGTAGGCATGCACTCCCCTTCGTGCCTGCCCTCGCCTGCCTGCTCTCGCCTGCTCTGCTCGCCTGCTAGGCTGCTTGCTACTGTGTCTGAGCTTGAATGGAACACTGGGGCAGTTTGCTGATCCACCGATGTACATGTAATTATTTGTTGAATTGCTGTTCCAAGCATTCACTTGCCGGTTTGTTTTCCGACCAACGACCAACGACCGACCTTCCGTCCTCTCTCCTTCTTCCTGAGTCCTGAGTTCTGAATCCTCGAGATCTTTCCACCGGTCCAGACAGCGCAACAAACAAGACAGCCCTTCCGCTCCTCCGTTGCCCATCATGCGTGAAATTGTCAGTTAATTCCTCTTAATTCGCCCTGATTGTCTGTCTTTACCAGAGCTAACAGTGATTGTTGCTGAACAGGTCCACCTCCAAACTGGCCAATGTGTGAGTGCCCTGATGTGTCTACATTATTGCCGGCCGAGCTCCGCGCCGCTAAGTACGGATATGCTTGTGTAGGGCAATCAAATCGGTGCTGCCTTCTGGCAGAACATCTCGGGCGAGCATGGTCTTAATGGCGACGGCATGTGAGCAGCCCCCCGCCATCGTCCTTCCCCCTGGCCTGGAGAACTCACATGATGGCACATCAGATACGAAGGTAGCTCTGAGCTTCAGCTAGAGCGTATGAACGTCTACTTCAATGAGGTACGAGCTTTGAGCGTGTGTCCTTTCAATATGCTGACCATTGTAGGCCTCACATAATAAATACGTGCCTCGTGCCGTATTGGTCGACCTGGAACCCGGCACCATGGACGCTGTGCGTTCTGGTCCGCTGGGTCAGCTATTCCGCCCCGACAACATCGTTTTCGGCCAGTCAGGAGCCGGCAACAACTGGGCGAAAGGGCACTACACTGAAGGGGCCGAATTGGTGGATCAAGTTCTCGATGTTGTTCGCCGAGAGACCGAGGGCTGCGACTGTCTTCAAGGATTTCAGATCACGCATTCCTTGGGCGGTGGTACTGGCTCTGGCATGGGCACTCTTCTTGTGTCCAAGATTCGAGAAGGTATGTTGCTTTTCGTTGATATAGCTTCCCAACGTCCCCTGCAACTTCGAGGACTTAAGTTGACGCCACACGTTTAAAGAGTTCCCCGACCGTATAATGGCCACCTTCTCCGTCATTCCCTCGCCCAAGGTCTCCGATACCGTTGTCGAGCCTTACAACGCCACCCTCTCCATCCACCAGCTGGTTGAAAACTCAGAGGAGACTTTCTGCATTGATAACGAAGCCCTGTACGACATCTGCCAACGCACTCTGAAACTCACCAATCCTTCATACGGCGACTTGAATCACCTTGTGTCTGCTGTCATGTCAGGCGTATCGACTTCTTTGCGCTTCCCCGGGCAGCTGAATTCCGATTTGCGCAAGCTGGCCGTGAACATGGTATGTCATCGAATCCTTGATATCTCTATCGCCCGACCATCCGAAGCTTACTTCTGAGATAGGTACCATTTCCCCGACTTCACTTCTTCATGGTCGGCTTCGCTCCCCTGACCAGCCGCGGCGCCCACTCATTCCGCGCTGTTACTGTTCCGGAGCTCACACAGCAGATTTTTGACCCCAAGAACATGATGACGGGGTCCGACTTCCGTAACGGACGGTATCTGACATGCTCCGCCATTTTCCGAGGCAAAATCGCCATGAAGGAGGTGGAAGAACAGATGCGCAATATACAGAACCGCAACTCCTCCTACTTTGTAGAATGGATCCCCAACAACGTACAGACGGCCCTGTGCTCCATCCCACCGCGTGGCTTAAGAATGTCGTCCACCTTCGTTGGCAACTCGACGGCTATACAGGATATCTTCAAGCGTGTAGGCGACCAGTTCTCTCTCATGTTCCGTCGCAAGGCCTTCTTACATTGGTATACTGGTGAAGGTATGGATGAAATGGAGTTTACAGAGGCCGAATCCAACATGAATGATCTTATCTCGGAATACCAGCAGTACCAAGATGCTGGCTTGGATGATGAGGAAGAGGAATACATGGAGGAAGAGTATATGGAGGAGGGAGAGGAATACGAGGAATAAACGGAGCTGGGGGCAAATTCTACATCGAAACTGCCACGCCCGTCCATACTCGTCCATACTCGGAAGCGGGCTTACTCATACTCGGTGCTTAGATTGTAGCCTCTCGTCACCGCGTTTATTCCTTGCCGTGGGACCCTGCTAGCGGAACTCTCTACAATATCATATCATGGCATGCTTCCCTAACATGTGTTTAAGATGACACTGCTACTTCAAGAATCTCAGGCTGGGCGACAGTGTCGACAACGCGTCGTATATACAACATTGAAACTCGCGGAAATGCCATGCTGTAGCCCGACAATTTCGTACTACTTGAACTCGTTGCTAAGCAGGACTGGCTGCTGGGATGCCTTTTCGGCAATTCTTGCCCCTGGAACTCGCAGTGAGCCCAAATGTCTGGATTTCAAAATGTAGAAAGAAAGGGGTGAAAAAAGTGAAGGAGTGAAGGTTGCTATCCCCAGTGAGGCTGGGAAGCACCAGGAATTGAGCCCGATGCGGGGGTCGAACCTGAGACAACTGTCAGTATTGGTGCCAGTGGTGGACTTGGGATTCGTGGACGTGGAGATGTACTCACCCGCAACCTTGAGATTAAGAGTCTCACGCTCTACCGATTGAGCTAACCGGGCGCTGTTGGAGAGGTGAGATGACCGTGTGTTGTTGTGGACTATATCCTAGTGCTCGTTAGGTCTTCCGCCGAGTGAGTGCGCAAACGGAGCAATTTTTCGCTTAGTTCTTTGGTTCTGTAGGTATACAGCCGGGCGGGTCGCGATAGGTGGATCGTCACCATGGACGTGGACGTGGGCCGGACTTGCTGTTTTCTCACCATCACCACCTGGGCAGTTAGTTAAGTACCTAACTGCCCCATGACTGCCTCGACTGCCTACCTCCATGTATGTATCTATAATGCTCGGGCAGTAAGTCACGCCTCTTGGATCTTGCAACAATCTAAATCGATTTTCTTTTGGCAAGCTACCTAGGTAGGTAGTACCCACCAACCTACTCATCCTCGGTACCGTGCTCGGCTCCGGCATTTCAGAGCTGGTTGCCAAGGGTTGCTGTACATACGAACATAGTACATTCTGTGTGTGGTAATGCACCAATACTGGGGCTAGTGTGCCGCCAGCGCAGAGTCTAGATGGCGCCACGATGTATCCCGTCAGTTTGCGTCTTGACTTGTGATAATGGGGCCCCATCACGCCCGTAATGCGTCTGCGATGCGTATTAGTGTGTTTGAATATTTGTCGAGACTGTTAGTACTCGTAAGCCTAAACATTGACACTAATCAACCTAAGAATCCCAATAATACGAGCTAGACTCCTTCGAGCAGCTTGTTTCAGCCATCCCGTGTACAGGCCTCCCATTCAGCTTCTGTATTTGATGAAGCCGTACCCCCAACCATGTTGAGAGATAACCAAGGGGCGAGCGGTCGCTGTGGGATTTGGCCCTGTAATAAACCGGTCGCACGGTAATGCCGGAGGATCTTGATAATCCTTTCGAACAGGATCATGTCAGCTATTCAAAAAGAGCCAGCATCGCACATCAATGAGGCTGCTGACAAAATCACCGACCGAGCAGCTACCTCAACCCGCAAACAGCGCTTCCTCACCACAAGAAAGATAATCATCATAGTCGCTATGGTTGGTGTAGTCGCGCTCGCACTAGGGCTCGGGCTCGGACTCGGACTTTCACGGCCTTGCGCGGCCTGCCCGGCTCCGAAGGCCTCAACTTCAACTTCAACTTCAACTGCAACACCGGCTGCGACGCCGGCTCCGAGTCCCTCCGGCACGGCGAGCGTCATCCAGCTGAGAGTCGGTACAACGTGGGACTACCCCCTCGGCTTTTCTCTCACAACTGCAAACGCGAATAAGAGTACGGTCTTCTACCCCGTGGATCTCGAAAACACACCGGCAGACACGATCACGGCGCTCAAGGACTCTCATACGATAGTCTGCTATTTCAGCGCCGGAAGCGTAGAGGACTACCGCAAGGATGCGGACGAGTTCCCAGCGTCAGCCGTCGGCAACGTGCTTGATGGCTGGCCGCATGAGAAGTGGGTAGATCACCGCAACGCCAAGGTGCGCGAAATCATGGCCACACGCATCCAGAACGCGGCCGATAAGGGCTGCGAAGGCGTTGACCCTGATAACGTTGATGGGTACGTCAACGACTCGGGGTTTGACTTGACGGAGGACGACACTGTCGACTACGTGCGCTACCTGGCCGAGACGGCACACGCGGCCGGGCTAGCTTACGGGTTGAAGAATTCGGGCGCCATCGTCGACCGCGTTGTCGATGTCGCTGAGTGGGCCATTAACGAGGAGTGCGCCGAGTACAACGAATGCGCTGACTGGGCCCCCTTTGTGGATGCCGGCAAACCAGTCTTCCATGTCGAATACACGAAGGACGACGACGCGACAAGCGTCAGTGCGGCGAAGCTGGCTAAAGCATGCGCCGCCGATGGGCAACCGGGTTTCTCGAGCGTCGTGAAGCACTATACGCTCGATGACTGGATCATCTACTGCTAAAGGATCATGGTTGCGACACCGCGGCGTTTCTCAAGCTGTATATAATAACCCTTAAGTGTATCCAGCAGTAGCTACCTACATCATGTCTGTATATTTAATTGAACATTGGATAGTGACCAGCAGGTATCAGTTTTAACAGGCTCAAATGTTGAATACCTTACCTATATGTAGGTACCTAGGCCCCCTAGGTAGGTACCCACTGCATTGGCGAAATACTGGTCTGTCTCGATGTTATGACTTCACAGAGCCATCTCTGTTAGGTATGCTTGGTATGGTAAATATATCACATTCTCTGTACCAATCAGGGTTATTGAAGTTCGATAGTTTCATGCTAAAGCCTTTGCAGATGAATTCGTGTCTGATGATTGAGGTTTCTCATACTTAGGTAGGTAGGGAGTCTTGTGTGTATGTGATCACAACCTACCTGGTAAAACGTGATTGAGGTTGATTGAGATAACCTCCGGCTCGTTCCCTGCCTGAGATACTACTAAACCGAGCTTTTACCGGTGACTGGCGACTGGGAATCCTAAGACCCGCATAGATGTGGGTCAAGTGATGTACTTAGGTACCTACCTAGCTGCGTGCCAGCAATCGAGAGGATATGCATATCGTACCTCTCCTTATCGGGCGAAAGTGGGGCTCCGAGCTTCGAGCTTGGTTGATCCAAAATTTTCAATTCGGCCTCACATCACACTCTCGCCCGTTTCTGCATTGCAATCGCGAAAGGCCATTGCACCGTGTCCCAGGCGCAACCACCGAGATTGTCGACGCCACTGCAACGCCAATTACACACCATCGTACCCGCGAACCGACACCGACTCCGACCTCGATACCACGTCGACCAGTCGCAGACGCGGTCGACCCCAGCTGCAACCATGCCGCACCTCGATTATCTCCTACACGAGGTTAGCTTACCACCCGCGGCCTTTCGCGCTTCTCCTCGACCTTCGGCGACTAGACGAGAAAAGGGGCTGTATCATTGAGGACTCTAGCTGACCCCTGCTCTCTGATATAGTCTGCGACCGGATATGCCCTCTTCAAGGTGGTCCACCAGCAAGATGATATCGCGTTGCGGACCGAGGAGGCCAAGAATGCCGCTGAGGACCTGGCCAAGCTCGGAAAGATGCTAAGCTTGACCTCGTATGCCGTTTGGAGATCCGCTGCCGAAGCCCTCGAGAACATTCATTCCATTTCCGAGGGAATGATGACCGACTACTTGAAGTCCACTATCGAGCTCAATATCCCCGCCTCGAAGAAATCCAAGGTCATTTTGGGCGTCGCAGACAAGAACCTGGCTGGAAATATCAAGGCTGCCTTCCCAGGCATTGAGGCCGAGACGGGCGACACGTCCGAGGCCGTCTCCTATCTCCTCCGTGGCATTCGTCTACACTCGTCCAAGCTATTCAAGGACCTGAAGGAGGGGGACGAGGAGAAAGCTCAACTCGGTCTTGGCCATGCTTACTCTCGTAGCAAAGTCAAGTTCAACGTTCACCGAGAAGACAATCATAGTGAGTTGCATACCAAGATGTTTCCGTGGCACCCTTGCAGCTTTAGGCTTGTCTGGAAAATGCGATCCGGCCAGTGCCGCTAACAATGTGCTCAGTTATCCGCTCTATTGCCACGTATGTGTGACCCTAAGGAATCTCTAACTCTGCTGTTGTTAACATTGAACTGGATAGCCTGGACAATCTTGACAAGGTGAGTCAACCAATACCATCCCGACCTGAGCTATCCAAGCCGCGTTGATTATCGAGACTGCTCGTATTTCAGGAAATCAATCATTACTAACATTTCTCAGGGTATCAACCTGTTCTCCCAAAAGTTGAGGGAATGGTACAGTTGGCATTTTCCGGAGCTGGTAACCAACCTCGAGTCCCTTCTCGCGAATTATACTGACCCAGGTCTTCCAGTACGCGATTTGCTCTGATAACCTGACATATGCCAAGGTCGCACGATATGTTGGGGACAAGAGCACGTTAGGAGACGATAAGCTTCATGAACTGGCTGGACTCGTAGGCGATGATGAGGAGAAAGCTGCTGAGATTATCCTCAAGGCCAAAATGTCCATGGGAAGAGAGCTGAGCGAGGTCGATCTAGAAAATGTCCTCACGTTTGCTGAAAAAGTCCAGAGCTTGGCAGAATACCGCCGATCCCTTTACAGCTATCTCACTGATAAGATGAGCACGGTAGCCCCGAATCTCGCCACGTTGATCGGTGACGTGGTTGCTGCCCGTTTGATTCAGAAGGCCGGTTCCCTCACCAACTTATCGAAGTACCCAGCTTCAACCCTGCAAATTCTAGGCGCAGAGAAAGCTTTGTTCAGAGCCTTAAAGACCAAGAGCAACACCCCCAAGTACGGTCTCATCTTCCACTCCAGCTTCATTGGAAGAGCATCGCAAAAGGACAAGGGACGTGTGAGCAGATATCTTGCAAACAAATGCAGTATTGCGTAAGTTGCCCTATCCATCTCGCCCAGCAACCTCGAGTTAGATATATGGTTACTGATGTCTTGTTGGCAGCGCGCGTATCGACAACTTCTCTGAAACACCTTCCAAAAAATTCGGAGAGGCTTTGCGAACCCAGGTCGAAGATAGACTAGAATTCTATGCCAGTGGCAAGAAGCCCATCAAGAACGCAGATGCTATGGTTCGTTTGCCGATGACTGTCGTATTCCAAAATTATGAGTCACTAACACACCGATAGGACAAGGCTGTAGCCGATCTTTTGGCCGAAGGCGACAGCATGGCCATCGACGCCGAGATGATTGACGCCCCCGTCGCCACTTCCGAACCTACACCCAAGAAGGAGAAGAAGTCAAAAGACAAGAAGGAGAAGGAAGAGAAGAAAGAGAAGAAGGACAAGAAGCGCAGACATAGTGAGGTTAAGGGTAATGCGGATGCTGATATTGATGCAGAGGTTGATGGCGAGAAGAAGAAGAAGAAAAAGAAGAGACACTCTGAGGCGTGATGATTTTTAACTTGTCAGGTCTATCTCAGGCATGATGATATGGGTACGGGCGTTTTGGATTAGGGCTGCTTTTCCTGCTGGTGTCTATTCTCTATTCTGTCTACTATCTCATCGCTGCCATGTGTACTTCCATA